AGGAAGATGGGCGCCACACTGCTGGCCTCTCTCCCCCTTAGGGACGCCAGCCTCCGGGAGGTCTCAGCGGCCTCTGCAGCCATGCTCTGCTTCTCTCGATGCTTCTCTCGCCTCCCCCCTGTACGTGTCCTCAGACCTCTCCCTCGTTCCCGCCCAGCTTCCCTCTCAGCTGCTGACTTTGCTTCACTTTAACTGAGGACCCAGAAGCAAAGTAGCGAGTATTTCCTCACTGCCACCAAATATCCAGTCTGCCAGCATCTAGACCCGTGGGGCCCCATATGCCCTGTGTGGCCCTGAATGGCCCAGGTGTGTTCCCATAGAAGAGCGGCCCTGCCCCTCGCACAACGCAGCCAGGTCCTCGTGCTCCTACTGTTGTTCGCATCTATCTCATTTCCTCAGAATGTTCCTTTCTCTCGAATCAGTCTCATCTCCATACGCATGCGCTACAACTACTCCCTTCTTAAACAAACATGCCCCCCAGACCTTCGCTGGACACTGTATCCCCTCCCTGTCTACACTTTAAGGAGGCACTAAAGGCAAATAGAGCAAAGTAAAAAGAAAAGCAATGAGAAATTCCAGGAAAAACACAAATTTTTTAAAAACTACTCCCTCAGTCACTGACCTGTTTCTCTGTTCTCCTTGGAGCAGAACCCCTCGCGAGAGTTGTGCGCATCCCCAGCCCTGCTTCCGCATCCTTCGCTTCCTCTCCACACCCCCTCCCCCACTCTCCCCAGCAAACCTTTCTGCCCTCTGAAGCTCCTTGGTCAAGGTTCCCCCCCGGCCTACATCTCCCCCGACCCCACGATGACTCTGTGGCCTTCATCTGTCCTGCTCTGTCAGCAGCACCTGACATCGTTGGTCACTCCCTATTCTCGAAGCACTTTTTCTACTTGGTTCTGGCCACCACTCTCTCTCTGTTTGCCTCCTGCCAGTCCCCTTTGCGGGTGCTCCTCACCCTGGAGCATCAGCAGCCCCTGGCTCAGTCCCGGGGTTGCCTGAGTGCGCCCTGGGTTCCGTCTCTGTGCCTGGACCCCGCCCCTCGCTCCCCTCAACACCACACCTGTTTGTCCTGGGCTCTTCTTAGGGACTTGTAAAGCCTCCTAAACCTAATGGTCCCGAATCTCTGATGGCCCCCTCATACTAGCTTCTTGTTTCTCCTTCCTCGGTGCCCAGCCCGCCCTCGCCTCCTCCCTTGTCACCTCCCAGAGATCCATCCGTGGTCCTCAGCAGAGAGCCCTGCCCAGACCACCTGTGGCCCCTCTGCCGCCCCCCCTTACCCCCCTGTTTCTCACTGTCCTGCATAGGCCACCGCCAGCTTTCTGGAGACTCTGACGGTCCTCCCCTGACCCCAAGCTCCTAGCTAACACCCCACAGGTGCACCCAGGCCTGGCCCATGGCCTCTGCCCTCCGGCCGCTGCACTCGCCGTGGCCTGCCTCGGGCCTTTGCCTTCATGTCCCCTCTGCCTAGAGTGTCCTGAGATTGTCACGTAGCTTATTCCCTCTGTTCTCTGGGGTCTGCTCACACGTTCCCCCCAGGGTCCTTCCCTGCCCCCGAGTTCCCTGCGTCCCCTGTGGCCCCGGCCTGCATGGCCTGTGCACTCGGGAGCTGTCCTGTCCTCGCCAAGTCCCCAGTTCCCAGAAGAGCCCCTCTCGACAAGGGTCCACTGAAGTAGCAGCTTTTTCCTGCTCACGGGATCTCCTCCCCTCCGTTTCCCTGCTTTGCTCTTGCTAAAGTGCCTGTTACTCCGAGCTGGACTCCCTGGTTGGACGGTTCCAGTCTCTCCTCTTTTTCTTTTATTTCCCGTCTTGGCTTGTTTTCCCCCTGCTTCTGGGAGATTCCGACTTCCAGTGCTTCAGCCTGTTTTCTCAATGTGAACAGAAGTGGTGGTTCTGAGCAGTCTAGTTATTTATTTTCACTTGCTCATCCCCGAGTTGTTTTATTGCAGCATACTTGACACGCAGTGTGACTCAGTTTCAGGTGTGCAACACAGGGTTTCATAAACGCTTATGCTCTGCTCACAGGTGTGGCCGCCACCTGTCACCGTGCAGCGAGCGCTGCTGCCCAGCTGCCGACCGTGACCCTCTGCTGTGCCTTTCCTCCCCATGACTCTGCCTCGTTCCTGCACCTCCCACCCCCCTTCACCCATTTCGTGGCCCCTTCCCCAGGCCCCTTACCTCCGGCAACCATCCATTCTCTGTCTTTACGAGTCGGTTTCTGCTTTGTTCGTTTGGTTTGTTGTATTTTTTAGATTCCACGTGTAAGTGAAATCACATGGTATTTGTGTCTCTCTATCTGACTTAGTTCACTCAGCATCATACCCTCTGGGTCCATCCATGTGGTCACGAATGGCAAGATCTCATCATCTTTTATGATTCACATTCCCTGGTGTGTGTACATCCCATCTTTACTCGTTCGTCTGTCTATGGACACTGAGGTTGCTTCCATATCTTGGCTGTTGTAAATAATGCTGCAGTAAGCATAGGAGCGCTTAAGACTTTTAGTGTCTTCATTTTCTTTGGGTAAATACCCAGTAGTGGAATTACTGGATTACACGGTATTTCTGTTTTTAATTTTTGGAGGAACCTCCATACTGTTGTTCACAGTGGCCGCATTGCTCTGGCACTTTTTTATCTTTTTATGTCATCGTAACATACTCATTTATTGATTCCATGGTAACAAAATATAAAATGAGAAAATTAAATTATCTATCATCTATGACGGAGTCTTCACATGACTGAATCTTCTTCAAGAACACCCCTATAATTTGTATGCTCTTGTAAGAATTGTGTTTATTCATTAACCATTAAATGTCAAGACTCCACCATGTACTAGGCACTAGGGATACAATAGTGAACAAAGTAACGTGTTCTCTGCCCCCTTCACCCCTCCAAAGTCCCCATCCAAATGTGTTCTCAATCTCATGAGGTACAGACATTAATGAAAGAATTACACAAGTAATTCTAAAACCCCAGCTCTGGTAGAGGCTACCAAGGAGGCCCCTGTGTCTTGGGAAGTCAGGGGACAGGACAATGTCACATGCTCTCCATTTAGGGCAAATTCTCAGCCCTACAGCAGCTACCCCAAGAAAAATTATGTTCTGACAAGCATTATAAATAGTGGCCTCATTTGGTTTCTGGGTAAAGCTGGGATTTTTTTTTCAGCAGCCAAAAGAATTAAAAAGCAAGAAGTCAAGATCTGCCCTTTGGCCCTGGATAGAATCATTCTTCCACCTTTTTCCCACTGCCTGTCTCTGCCCTCCTCCCACCCTCCTGCCAAGTCCACCGGGGATAAAGGGTGCAGAAAGGCATGCGTTTGCCTAGCAGTGAGCTCACATCAGCACCAGCTCTCCATGGGAAACATTTTTCCTTTCAAGACTATCCCAGGGTTCTTCCTTGAAATTCTCAATCTTGATGCTAGAAACCATCTTTCTTTTGGCAAACGTAACTTCTGTTTGCCCTTGATAACACAAATTCTGTCTCTGGGCAAGAGGATTAGGTTTTCTGTCCCTCTTTGTAGCTGAGAATCTTCCTAGTTATATATTCATATTTGCCCCAACAGTTCAAATCAGACTACTTGCATTTTCTCTTCTATGCTATTTCCTGTATAGTCTGAGAAATTCAGTATCCTGAACTGTTCCAACCTACCATCGTTCCTTTGCATGGCTGGTATTACATATTCCTAGGCACGCATGTGAATAGCTTGGTTTCGCGTGGTAGGAGTTCTGTTCCTTCCGCATATCCCGTTTTTATCAAGTCTTCCACGTGGAGAGGTCTTTGGGGAGCTCCCTTGGTTGACACGGTGCTCTAGTGGAAAGAGCTGAGTCCTGGCTTTCCTGCCTCCAGTTGGGTCTTGCACTCTTTCACCCCTCGGATCCTTCCTCACGTCTACAGGCGATCAGACCTATCTCGGAGAGCTATGGAGAGATTTAAATCCCATGTGTGTGTGCCTGCATTCATTATCTGGTCGATGAAAATTCAGTCTACACTCACTTCCGCAGTGTTTGGTTCTGAACCATTTCCTGTATTGTTAAAAAACCATTTTGCCTGTATAGTTAGCTCTCCCCTTACCACTTCCTTTAACATACCCAATATGCCTCCCTACCTCGTGCGTGACGCGGTCAGAATGTTTGCTTGTGTTTTAATCATTTCCTGTCTAGACAGTTGCAGGTCCTTGGCTTTTGAAAATGACTCTTCTCAAACCCAAACTCTAAAACTTGGGGATGAATCCAGGTCTTACAGTTGGGGAATTCTGCCTTTCTAGTAAAGAATTTTGTAACATTTGGAGTCTCATTGCTTCCAGCACTTCCTTTCTGTTCTTTTGAGTTTGATACATAATTTTGTTGTGGTCTGATCTTTTTTTGTGTATCCTCACAGTGTTCTTGGATTATTTGCACATGTGCTTATCCTTTCATAATGTTTCTCAATTCTCTGCCTTTTCTATTTGACAGAGTAAGAAATTCCAGAATAGAACTTGGGGCTGTTTATCTTAATGAAATTTATCCATCTGAAAGGAATTTTGAATAGAAAGAAGAAAAGAGTCTTTGTAAGAAGTGCCACAGGTGCTTGTGTATGGTTTTCCCCAGATTCCTACAGATTCTATTGAGAATGCTTGTTTTGTTTGATGGTTTCTGATTTGGGGCTTTTTTTTTTTTTATAATGAAATGATTGGGATATACAGGAATTCTGAAAATAATTTATTCTTAGATTTCCCATCCAGATTTTAGAACCATTAGAATTAATCTTAGTAATTATTAAGCTTGTTTTTTAAATTATAAAAGCAATGAATGTCAGGGCGCCTGGGGAGCTCAGTCGGTTGAGCGTCCGACTCCTAATTTTGGCCCAGGTCACAATCTCAGGGTGGTGAGATCGGGCCCCACGTTGGGCTCTCTGCTGGGCGTGGAGCCTGCTTAGGATTCTCTCTCTGCCTCTCCCTCTGCCCCTTCCATGCTTCTGTGCTCTCTCTCTCAAAAGAAAAAAAAAGCAATAAATGTTTATGGCAAAAGATAAGAATTCGACAAGATAGAAGATTATGAAGGGCAAAAATCGTTCTTAATCCATCTTCCCAGACTGTGAAATACCTTCTCCTCACTTCAGTGTTGATAACATGTTACAACTGGAAATTTAAAAACTTTCTAGAAAGAAGCAAAAGAAAACTGCAAATGCCCCAGAATGCTAATTCTCGTTAATTACTGTCAGCGTATCAGTGTAAATCCTCCTCCTCTTTCTCTTTGCGTAGATATCTTTCCTGTTTTGTGTATATGTGCGCGCATGCACACTCTTTTAAAAATAAAAGTAGGATCTCTTGTACTTTTGTCCGTTATTACCTCATCATGAACATCATCACCTGAGATGTGGACCTTTGCACAGTAGCAGAGAAAATCTTAGCTGAGGTGACAAGGTAACTGTTGAGAACACTGCCCTTGGGAGGCGGTCCTGACTCTAGTCCACCATGGGTCTTCCTCAGCTTCAGAGCTGTGGGGGATCTGGGCCAGGAAAGCCATCTCTCATTCGACCAGAAGCAAGTTGTTACTTCCCAGTCTGTGCAAGTCACCTTCTCTCAGAGCAGGGTATCCTGCCAGTGGGGCCTTCCAGGGCTCAGGGAATCAGTCCTTTTGGTAAGACAGAAGACCGGACACTTCCGTACGTATAAAATGACTTTCATTGTTTTTGTTCCTAGGGAGTGGCTTTATTTATTGTGCCATGAAATGTTGAATCCGTACTATGGACTCTTCCAATATTCTACGGACAACATTTACATGTTGCAGATCAACCCAGACTCTTCAATCAACCCCGTAAGTATTCACGAATAAAGAGGGAGCAAATTGGAGCATTTTTTTAAATAGATTTTCAGGTTTGGTCGCTATCCTTGGTTTACTCGTTGTAGACTTACTCAGAGTCTCTGGTAAATAGACACTGAAAAGGAGAGTGGAACTGGATTAAGGTGGATGATTTCTCTCCTGTGTGTTTTGTGCCTGGGAATCACTGGTTATGTTATTTTCAAAGACAGCAAGAGTGAAACTGAGCTGCTTAGAATACTCAAAGCCCTGTATTGCCAGTTGGGGGAACTGAGGTATGAGGACTGTATTTGTTGACCGTGTCATTCTGAGACGTGGGCTATGAAGTCCATCCTCCTCCCAGTCAAAATTGGAATTTTCCATGATTGGCCTTTTTGGCCACGAGTGCTCGTGGCGGACTCTCCCCGTGGGGCTGTGTCCCGTGGTCACCGCTGCTGGGCCCACGGCCCCTGAGGCAGTCTGGGACCAGCTCTCCTCTACAGGCATTCAGATGTGACAGAACAGAGTGTTTTACCAAGATGGCAATGAGGTTTTGATGAACTCTGATTCTAATTCCGACTGAAAGCAGAGATGTGTGTTTCCCCGTTAAAAACCAGAACAGCTCTGGTTTTTCTGCTTCATGTGCAGAGAATTTTCCTCTATGTTCCTTTTTTGATTTTTCTTCCTTCTTTGGGTTTTTTCTCTTCCGCTTTCTCCAGGGACTCGGGAGGGATGGTAGAAGGAGGGGAATTGCCCTCTGCTCTCTTTCTCGGTAATGCAGTGGACTTGGGCGCCCTGCACTTAGAAGGGCCTGTGCTTGGTTTGAGTCTGCAGCTGCCCTTTGAATTCTTAATTTTTGAGTAAGGGGTTCTGCATTTTCCTTTTACACTGAGTGCCACAGATGATGTAGCAATCCCGAGGAGGTGTTTGCACTAGGGGCCTATCACATACTCAGATGATCTATAAAGACGTGCTCTGGGTTTTGACTGCCTGACCAGCCTTCTTTCCTCCATCCGTGAGCACAACCTGTGAGTAACCAACCGAGTTAGATGGGACAGTTCGTTCTCCCAAGAAGCTTGGAGAAAGCACAAAGGTATCCACTTCGGCTGGGCCTTTTCCTACTGAATTCGTGTTCTCTGGTGCCCCCTACAGGACCATCTGTCTTATTTCCATTTTGTGGGCCGGATCATGGGTCTCGCCGTGTTCCACGGCCACTACATAAATGGGGGCTTCACGGTTCCCTTCTATAAGCAGCTACTGGGGAAACCCATCCAGCTCTCGGATTTGGAGTCGGTGGACCCAGAATTACATAAGAGCTTAGTATGGATTCTGTAAGTACAGCCTCGCTGTTCAGTTAATGCACAGCCACCGTCTCGTACACCGGATAGAATTGTCTGTATGCGTGTGTGCGTGCATGTGAATGTTTTTGAGGGGTGGGTGTGAAGTTGGAGAAGAGAAAGAAAATGCTGTTTTACAACCAGAAACGTAAAAGTAGATTGAATAAGAAATACTCAGTTGACTTAATGTTCTTCATGTTTGGCCAGTTTCACTTCATAGACTGATTTCTTTTGTTGTCCCCTCAAATTATTAAGGAAGGATCACAAGTGTTAGTCCCCCGAGCGTCATAGGTGGGTGGGTGGTTTGCTTTTGACTCTCTAGGGGGTCTCCAGTTAATCTCTGGAGGGAAAGTATCAAAAACAAAATTAGTATCGAAGTACCTTATGTCAAAACATTTGATACGAGAAAAGGATCAGGAAAAATTCTAGTCACCTTTGTTTTAGAATTCTCCTAAAATGCTCTTGAAAGCAGCTGGCCCCGTTCCACGGTGACCGTGGGTGTCACAGGTCCTTGTCAGTGGGCTGATTCCATGGGAGCGAGAGACCCAGGCTCTGGCAGAGGGAGGACGTGCCGAGGACCTGAACTCAGTTGCGTCCTGCGCTCTGTTGGCCCGCGGTCCCTGCTGGGAACGGGTAGTCTGCGAGGGGTAGGGCCTCCAGCCCATAGGAGATCTTTCACTCTGTGTTTCAAGAAGCACGGCAGGCGGAGGAGTCTGTCTGAACTCTCGAGTGCTACTCTGTGTGAATGGCTGCCTTACAAGGGGGACCGTATCGTCTAGGTGTGTCTCCCTGCAGGTTGCTTTTCCTTTGACTCAGCTGACTCTTCGTGAACCCCTCCCTTCTGTTCAGAGACTCAGTTGACAAAGCAATCAGGTCACTGTGTCTCGTAAGATCACAGAATGGTAGAGCTTCCGTCACCATCCTGCGAAGGGGGAAGCCGAGAGTCAAGGGCCCATCTGGATGTGGAGCTGGGGTCCCCCGGCTCCTCCCAGGGCCTGTCCCCCTGCCCGGGCACAGGCTCTGTGTCTGCCTGAGGCTCCTCTCTTCTCCCTCCTGCAGTTCCGGGGTGTTAGTCAGTAAATGCCATCTGTCTGTCTGTGCCCCGGATTGCTCCCGCTCCTATTCTGTACCCTGCTGCCTTGCGGCAAAGATCTGACATCCATCTTCTGTCCTAACTTCGACAGAGAGAACGATATCACCCCTGTGCTGGACCACACTTTTTGTGTGGAACACAATGCTTTCGGGAGGATTCTTCAGCATGAATTGAAACCCAATGGCCGAAACGTTCCTGTCACAGAGGAGAACAAGAAAGAATATGTCCGGTAATGTTCCAGGGAACCTTGGTGGCCGCTGATGGGGCCTCCGGGTGCCCGGGACCGTCCTGGGCATGGCTGGGTCCACATTTAGATGGTCAAGACTCCTTCACTGTTAGAGGCTTCCCTGTCCCCACCAGCATGTGTGACCAGAATCACATAACTGAACTGTCGGGTTCAGCAGTGGGAGCTCTGCATGGAGGAGGCCCGATGCCACCAGGCCTGATCTGTTGAAGGGACAATAATGACCCCCGAGCCCAAGTGGCGGAAGGGATTGCCAAGTGGCCTCCTGATTCTGGGTGTGAAGGTGGTGAGTGCAGGAGAGAAGTGGAGCCTAGAAGTTTCCTTGAGCTCAGGCTCAAGGAAGTCTCCTCCATTGTGGTCCCACCTCTGACGGCAGAGAAATGACATGTCACTTACACTGGAAATCTGGAAGCATATGGGTGCGTTGGAGTGCTTGGGCGGCCAGACTGGTGTGTGGTTCTCCCAGCATCCCCGTATCTTATTTTTAAGTCTACTTTTTTTTTTTTTTAAGATTTTATTTATTTATTTGACAGTGACATAGCGAGAGAGGGAACACAAGCAGGGGGAGTGGGAGAGGGAGAAGGAGGCTTCCCGCGGAGCAGGGAGCCCGATGTGGGGCTCGATCCCAGGGCTCTGGGATCATGACCCGAGCCGAAGGCAGACGCTTAACGACTGAGCCACCCAGGCGCCCCTAAATCTACTTTTTTAAATGATGGCACTTGCTGTAATACGTCAGGTTAATTCCTAGTCCTATTTTTAGTAAAGCATCAGAATGTGTCAAGCCTGTGCTGACTTATTTTTAACCCGGTCTTACCAGCTGTTGGGGGTTTTGCCAACCCCCCCATCCCCCCCCCTGGAGGCCTGGCGGCAGGGCGTTAGGTTCAGCAGATGATGGCAGAACCCACTACGGAGGAAAAGTTGTTCCTGTGAACCATTTGTATTGCCTCCAACTTGCGAATTTGTCTTTCAGGTTGTATGTAAACTGGAGGTTCATGAGAGGGATCGAAGCGCAGTTCTTAGCTCTTCAGAAAGGGTTTAATGAACTCATTCCTCAACACTTGCTGAAGCCTTTTGACCAGAAGGAACTAGAGGTACGTGCTCACTGGGCTGAGCCAAGTCCACATTCAAGGTCGTGAATGTGATGAGTGTTTTCTTGTTTTACACACGACAGCAGAGTGAGGCTCACCTGTTCCCCAGCAAGGCCAGGGGTTTTGGGGGCTCCAGGATAACAGGGCTAGAGCGAGCGGGGCGTCGAGGACATCTGAGCCTGTTGAGGATCAGGCCAGGTGTCTCTCTGCTTGGCGGCAGCCAGCCCGGATCCTTCTCTGGACATTGTGCAGGGTGTTCTGTGGCTTATCCTATTTTTCAGAATCTTTAGCAGTGGAGGTTCCTAACCCCCTCCTGTGAAGTCACCTCGGGTCGAGGAAATTATCTCGCATATAACCAGATTCTCCCAGCACGTCAGCTTTCTGTTTTTGTTCTGGCTATTATTAGCCTCGGAACAAAGTGTTATTATGTCCTCTAATCACACTGCATGTGCTTGAACATAGCGGTTCATTCATCTCTTACCCACCGCCGATGCCAAATGGCTCAGGGCGGCGAAATCCTTCTGTCTTTCTGTCCCCGGTGAGGCGCCTCCCGCCCCGGGCAGACACATGCACACGGCTCCCGCCACGGTCCCTCCGCTCAGCCTTCGAGCTCCGCCTGTCCCAGCCCCCGAAGTCCCTGGGATGTGGCCCCATTTTATAGTCCGCCCCTTTGGTCTTGCCAGTTGCTTCTTTCATACCGACTGCTCGCTGATGCAGTGCAACACCACGAGCGCAGATGTGCTTGTAAGAAAACCCCCGGGTTGGGGGGTCGGAAGGCAGCCTGGGGTGGCAGCATTGGGCACACTGCTGATCTCCCTGCTTATCCACGTCTGGGGCTTGTCTCTTCAGGCACGATAGATTCGCTCCTCTCATGTCCTGGGAACTACTGGGTGGGGCGTGTCATGACCCTGGTTCGTACGTTTGAGAACTAACTTGCTGCCGCACGCCTTCCCAGCTGATCATTGGTGGCCTGGATAAAATCGACGTGAGCGACTGGAAGTCCAACACTCGGCTGAAGCACTGTGTGGCCGACAGCAACATCGTCCGGTGGTTCTGGCAGGCTGTGGAGACCTTCGACGAGGAGAGGAGGGCCAGACTCCTGCAGTTCGTGACCGGGTCCACTCGGGTCCCTCTCCAAGGCTTCAAGGCTTTGCAAGGTGACTGACATAGAGGCGGGGCTCCTGGCCCCACGCATCTCCCCTAGGCGCGTCCCGCTGGCAAGGCTTTGGGAAAGAAGTCAGGAGTTTTTAAATGCACTGTGGATTCGTTTGAGTCTTCTGATAGCAGCTCTCTCACTGCAGTCCTGAGTGAGGGAGAGAGTGGCCTGGCCTGGGCATCAGGAGATGGAGTCTCTGGCTACCGTGTTGGTCATTAGTGCCAGGGGTCCTCCCTGGGCCTCAGTTTCGTCCTCTGTGTAAATGCACTGCCTGATGGGCTCCACTGATGGGTATGCATCCTGTCTCTCGTCCCTTCCAACTGTGATAAAAAAAAATCTGATACCCAGATTTTTGATAACCCTGAGAGCCGGAAGGAAAAAGTTGAATGATAATAGTATATTAAGACTTAGTAAATGGAATTTTGCATATTAATAGTGATAGCAGATATATTTCACATAGAGAATATTCCCGGTAGACTTTTCCGTATTCCAAGGACTTCTTATAAGGAGTGACAGAAGTTCCTTCCATCTCCTTGGGCTTTTGTCCCAGGTGTTTGTCTTTTTCTCTTCCCGTCGTACCTCTGCCTGGGGAGATTTCGTGATCCTGTATCTTGCTCTTGTTATAACTCTGCTGCCTCTGCCAGGAGTGGGTCTGCTTGCTAAAAATTTGTTTAAAAAAAATAAAAACACAACAACAAAAAACACATCACTGGTAGTTTAAGGATTTTTACCCTTCAGATACCCCCACCTGAGTGGGGGAGGAGACAGGGGGAGCGTTCTCACCAGTCTGCGCTCTGCCCCTGTGGTTCTCTAGAATGTCTCGTATAGGTCCCTGGATGGCCACTGTCAGCATACGCTAAGCCGGGTGGAGGCTCATGCTACCTCGTGAAGTCCGTGTGTGACCCTCCGGCAGGACGGCCCGCCTGGGCACGGGGCGGAGGGTGTGGCTGGCAGTGGGGCCTGGGCCCTGCCTCTGACGTGCATTAACTAGACTGTTTTCTCGTAAGGTTCTACAGGCGCAGCAGGGCCCCGGCTCTTCACCATCCACCTGATCGACGCCAACACAGACAACCTTCCGAAGGCCCACACCTGGTAAGGCCCGTCCCCTGGGAGCCTGTCTCCACAATGTGCCGCCCTTCGCGGGGCTTGTCTAAGCTCTTTTCTTCTGTGGAGCACTCTGCTTCCCTTATCAGCATCCCAGGACCACTGGCGATGGCCCCGGTGGCCGATGGAACAAGCACTCGGCCGTGGGTCACAGGTTATCAGACGTCTCTGTTGTGAAACCACTTGTGTTGTGAGATGGGATTCTTGCTGGCTGGCGCTCCAGCAGCTCCAGTCTTACCTTCACTGGGTCTTGCATGTGCGTGCGTGAGCACACGCCCCTCTCAGTAGGAAAACTAGGTTTTAAATTTTTTTATTTTATTTTTTAGAGAGCGCATGTGTGCATGCACGAGTGGCGGGGAGAGGCAGAGGGAGAATCTTAAGCAGACTCCATGGTCAGTGTGACATGGGGCTCGGTCTCATGACCCTGAGATCGTGGCCTGAGCTGAAATCAAGAGTTGGATGCTCAACCAACCAAGCCACCCAGGCACCCCAAAAACTATAGTTTTTATTTATTTTATTTTAAAGACTTATTTAGAGAGAGCATGCACGAGAGCAGCGGAAGAGAAAGAGGGAGAGAAACCCAAGCAGACTCTGCAGTGAGCTCACAGTCGGACACGGGGCTTGATCCCATGACCCTGAGATCACGACCTGAGCCGAAACCAAGAGTCAGACGCTTAACCAACTGTGCCACCCAGATGCCCCAAAACTGTAGGTTTTAATCTGGAGTTACTAGTTCACTTCCTAAGACTCCATTTTCCTTCTTGGAACTTAGTCTATGATGATGCATCTAGTGTACTGAAAAATATTTCTTGCCCAAATTTTAACTTAAATAATAACCATAGCAGATTATTTGTGGTTTAAAAATCAAGTTAGTTACGTACACTTTGTCTCAGAAACCATGTATCGAAAAGACCAGCATGTATAGTTCAGGAGAGCCAGGTCCTGGTCATCCAGCTGCATCGGGGTGTAACAGAAGGCTCCTGATTGAGAGCCCAGGGGTGTGGCTTCAAATGTTTGCACGGTCCCAAGGCCATGGGGAGGCTACAGCGCCTCGCCCAGCGTGGCCGTCACAGAAACCACGCCGTGTTGATGCTGGGCAGCTGCTTTCCTCCCCAGAAGACTCTGTCCTTTCATAGTTTGGTGTCTAGAGTAAAACAGATGTGAGAGGTGCCCTCTGATGCTAAAGCCCCCCGCCAAGACTATCACACCACTCAGCCCAATTCTTTCTTGAGAAAAACCATCCTTAATGGCTTAACCCCTTGTAATTTAGTAAGTCACTCTATGGCCTCTCTGTCAGAATTATATATTTTTTTGTTAGTAGAGAATATCCTTCTTAAAGGGTATTTTTTTATTAAATACAACAGTAGAAATGAATTTCCCCAGGGAAATGTTGATTCATTTCATCACTCATTTCATCTCTTGATTTCATTTCAGTGTCAGGGATTTGACATTTTATTAGTTTTGAGATACAGCTTGTTTTTGCAAGAAATATTCCAGACTGCCCTGTTTGGTCTCAGATCAAGTCACGGTGGATCAGCTAGACATGCCGTATAAATTGTTAGTGGTGATCTGACTGCCGGCTGGTCTGGATTACAGTGCTCTCTGCAAAGGTGGTATTCCTCGTACCGAGAAATAATTTCTCCCAAAGACAACAAACAAAACAAGCTGAGAGCTTTGTCCTCATATAACCAGGAAATAGTAATTGGTTTAATTTTGGTTTTCAAGATCTTAGGGTCTATGTTGCTGTGTGTTCGATGAAAAAAATCTCTGCTTTCAAAGCAGACGAGGACTGGGGGTGGGGGGAGAGTAGAAAACTTACCTCCACCTCTTTATCCCAACAAGGCGATGAGATGCTTTCCCGTCTCGGCTCCGTCCAATCTACGTGTGTGTGTGTGCGTGCGCGCGCTCTCTCTCTCTCTGCTGGCTCGGGGCCACAAATACACTGCTCCCGCCTGTCCTTGTCCTTGAAGCAGGTCCTACATCCAGATCACCCCCAGCAGTGACTCTCTCGCTCTTTTGTCCTGTTCCAGCTTTAATCGGATTGACATTCCACCTTATGAATCGTATGAGAAGCTCTATGAGAAGCTGCTGACGGCTGTGGAGGAGACTTGTGGCTTTGCTGTGGAGTGAAGAGCAACCAAAGGCAACAGATTCTAGCTCATGACCACCAGACCAAAAGCAAGCTTTCTGTGTGCCTCCTACGCAGCTGGCTGAGGCCTGGGAACCCCAGATCACTGGAGGGAAAGAGTTGTCTCCCCTCCTTTTGGGGAGGGGGGTAGGGGGACTTTGGTTGGTGGCTCCCACCCATACTTTCCTCCTTTATGACAGTACTCCCACCCCCTTCCATCACCCATCCAATAAAATGCAGCCAGGTTTAGCACTTGGCTTCGGTCACACAGGATATTCCGCTCTGACTGGAACCCGTATGGTGATTGGCTCACTGCCCTGTGGTCTTTATAGGGGGATCAGCCCACAAGTTCTGGAACTGAGCTTGGCTTACTGAGGCTTTGTAACTGGTAGCTCTCCTAGCTATTCTGTGTCAGAACGGTCCCGAGGCCCCTTTTCAAGTTCAGCAGCTCAAATTCCAGTCTCATCCTAGCAGCCTGTTCCAGGTAGCAGATGAATTTCTAACTGAAAAATAACCATATTGTCTAGGGGAAGTCCGCCGCAGTGGGAAGCCCGCATCAAAAGCGTGCTTCCCTTTTGGAAAAGTAAAGCGACCGGGGCCCGGGGTATGTTTCAGGGTATCCTGGCTGAAAAATTTGTTCTGCATAGAGAAAACTGATCTTTCCTTTTAAGAGTCCCTTTGCCATGTTATCTATCTAATTCGAGATATTTTTCCAGTGAAAATACCACATAACAGAGCTTATAAAAGAACAGACCAAACCAGCCTCAGATCCACGCAGCCAGTCCCGGGTCGGGGCTCCTGCACCACCTCTGTGTCGGCTGGGTCACTGGATACTAACGAAGTGTCGTGTGGAACTTGCTGAGAGCTGAACTAACAAAAGAAGAGCCTGTTCTAGCTGCTGGCCTGGTGCGGACTCGCCTCAAAGGGAAAGGGGGAGCGGATAACCTCGTTGACTTAACCCCCCCTTTTTACTGTTAAATGCAAACCTGACAGTGTGGGGGGGGCAGGGACACAGTTCCACTCTGGCTCACGCTGGTCATCTTCCGAGTGTCAGAGGGCGACACTAACAGTCACCGCTCGCTTCACTCACCCAAACATCTTCACATGCTGAGCGAGGCCAAAGCCGGCCTGGACCCCACGTTCCAGTTTGCACACGATGTTCAAGCAGTATTTTAACAAGGTGGTTTGAGTGGAGATCGACTTCCATGAAGGGCGGCAGCGGCAAATTGTCCTGTTTGGTTTTTGTTGTTTTTGTTTTGGGGGGCAAGTGTGGGGTAATTCCTTAGCAAGACACTTCACTGTTGAAACTCTGCTGTTGGTTTTGGAGTTAGGCGTTGGCATCCAGCTGTGGGTCTGAGAGGGGTTTGGAAGGAGCTTTTTGGACGACTCTCTTTTTGTTACTAACACCTTTGGACTGTGGTGGGTTTGGAGGCCTGCGTACCCTTCTCATCTTGCT